GTATCTTTTGTAGTTATTCATTAGCTGAGCAAGACTGGCCCCTGTTGACACCCCCACCCCCCTCTTGGTCTCTGACGTTCTCTCTCTGGTTCTCTCTAGATCTTTAGTCTCTTCCTCCTCCTTTCCTCTTTCTGCCTCTCTATCTCTGCCTTTTTCTCTCTGGCACGCTCTCTCTCTCTCTCTCTCTCTCTCTCTCTCTCTCTGTCTCTGTCTCTGTCTCTCCATCACTCTCTTCTTCATTCTCTTTTCTCTGTCTCTATATCTCTCTCTGTCTCTCTGTCTCTGTCTCTGTCTCTCTGTCTCTGTCTCTGTCTCTGTCTCTGTCTCTCTCTCTCTCTCTCTCTCTCTCTCTCTCTCTCTCTCTCTCTCCTCTCTGGCCCTGTCTCTCTCTGCGGTTTCTGCACTGTGGTAACATCTACCATGTGGCCCTCAGAATCAAATCAATGCCTGCAGTGTGCTCCTAAAGCCTCAGAACTATGAATGCATCAGTCCTTTTTTCTTTAGAAAGTGTATTTTGATACACCAACAGAAAATGGAGTAACACAACATCTATCCATAGAATTTTGCTTGTTGCTGATGTCATTTATTTGAAAATGTCTTCAGAAAGCTTGGAACTCATTCATTTTGTGTCTTGATCTCTGCGACAAAATCAATAGCAGAGGATTTAGTTACAAAAACAAATGTTAGAAGGAATGTGGCTTGGTGGTAACTTGCTTGCCTTGCCTGTGTAATGTCCTGGGTTTTATCCCCAGTGCTGAAAACATCTGGGCCTGGAGGGAAAAGGTGTGTGGTGGCAAATCAAGCTTGATGAGCAGCATGGATTAGAGAAGAATGACCTGCTTAAGAAGCTGGATAAACTGAAAGCCTCCATGAAAGAGCTGGAAACGACAAGAGTGATGGAGTTCCAGAGAAAACCCAACTGTTCCAGGGGAAAGTCCTTCACGACCTGAAAATCGAATACAGGATGTGGAAAATGTGAGACACTGAAGCAAGCTCAGGATTTAAGGGGGAGCAGATGGAGGCACCGGATCAACGCAGTGTCCCGAACGCCATTCCAGCTGGAATAAGCGTGAGGACCGAGGGAACCAGGCAGTTCTCCAGGACCCGGGAGCAATTAATTCCTAATGGATGCTGGTGGTGAACAGTCGTGATGGTTTTCCTGGATGCTCCAGCTGCATCTCAGCCCTGCACATGCCTGAACAATCTTTCAGCAAGAAAAGCACAGGGGGTGCTGGGGAGATGGCTCAGCGGTTAAGGGCACAGACTGCTCTTTCAGAGGACCCAGGTTCAATTCCCAGCACCCACATGGGAGCTCACAACTGTCTATACCACCTGTTACAGGGGATCTGACACCTTTACACAGACATACGTGCAGGCAAAACATCAATGTACGTAAACTAGAAATAAATACATTACGTAAAAAAATAAAAGAGGAGCCGGGCGGTGGTGGCACACGCCTTTAATCCCAGCACTCGGGAGGCAGAGGCAGCGGATCTCTGTGAGTTCGAGGCCGGGTTGGAACGACAGCCTCCAAAAAAACACAGAGAAACCCTGTCTCGTAAAACCAAAATAATAATAATAATAATAATAATAATAATAATAATAATAATAAATAAAAGAGGAGTGAATAAATAAAACAGGACTGAAAATGTCCAGAAGGCAGGTGTAGGGTACACACCTGTGATCATGGAACTTTCCAGAAAGAGACAGGAGGAAGCACAGTCTCTGCTACATAGCACATTTGAGGCTGGCTGGGGCCATGTGAGACAGTCTAGAGGCTAGAGCAAAGGACAGAGTATGAATGAAGTGGCCAGGGACACACAGAGAAAGTGAGACTTAAAAGTCTGAAGGCTAGAGAGATGGCTCGGTAGTTTAATCACCGACATTGCTGTGCAATCATGAGGACCACAGTAGAGTTTCCAGCAGCCACCTAAATGCCAGATGTGGTTCCACAAACACTTGTAACCTCTGGACTGAGGTAGGTGAGGACAGGAGGATCCCTGGAGTTCTCTGGCTACCAACCTAGTCAAACAGTGAGAACTCTAGGTTCAGTGAGAGGCCCTGCCTCAAAGGAATGAGACAAAGTGATAAAAGAGGACAACTTTTCCACTCTGGCTTCCATGCATGCACAGCTGCATCTACCAACACATTAGTGTGCACATACAACACACACACACACACACACACACACACACACACACACGAAGAGAAAAACATTGAAACAGAAGTAACAGAAGTGGGTAAGAAAACTAGCTGTGCAAGCATGAAGACCTGAGTTCAAATCCCCAGCATCCACCACAAACAAAACAAAACAAAAAGTCAGGCATGGCTGCACTGTCTATTATTCCAATGCTGGGAGATGGAGGCAGGCAGATCTGGAGGGCTTGCTGGCTGGCTAGCCAGTCCAGTGAGAGACTCTGTCTTAGGAATAAGGCAGAGAGTGGCAGAGTAGGAAGCCCAGTCAGTGTCCTCCTGTGGATTCTGTGGGTACATACTACACACTCATATACAATATCCATACTAAGTAAATGAGCAATAAAATATAAAATATGAGGGAAAAAGTTTGAACCAGGTATGAGGGTGATTCCTTATAATCTCAGCCAATGGGAAACTCAGGATTGCCATAAGTCTGAGACTATCCCAGGCTGCATGACCAGTTCCAGGCCAGCCTGGACTACAGTGATGCCATGTCAAAAATAAACAACAAGTTTGATACCAGTTGGGTGGCTCAGAAATGAACCAAAAACTGTACTGACTGAAAGAAACAAGATGTATCAAATGCTAGTCCCCAAATGAGACAATTTTCTTCCATGCATATCAATGTGTGGCTCTCTAATTCACCTCTTGATGAGGTTGTGATTTCCAGGTAATAAGCATGAAATAATAACCTTGTTCGCTTGCTTCTTCTTTTTGAAAATAGGATTTCACTACATAGCTAGGCTGGCCTTGAATTCAAGTTCTGGAAATGCACGTGTGAACCCCCACCCTGGCTGAGTGAGCCACCTCCTAACAGGACTAGAATCGATGGCTCTCCATCTCTTCCATCCTCCCTCTCTTGTTTGCCACTGTCTTGGCCTCTGGTAGTCACACGTTTTCTGTATTACTACACTCACTGTATACTTAGAAACAATGTGTTAGCCAGGCAGTGATGGCACATGCTTTTTATATATATATACTTTTTATTGTATATTTAAACTAGGAACAAGCTTGCTTCCCATGTCAGTCCCAGCTCCCTCTCCCTCCCCTCCACACCCACCCCCCCAACCAGCTCCCCACCCAATCCCCACTCCATTCCCCAGGGAGGCTAAGGCCCTCCATGGGGGATCTCTAGAGTCTGTCATTTCATTCTGGGGAGGGCCCAGGCCCTCCCCAAAGTGTCCAGATTGAGAGAGCATCCCTCATTATGGGATGGGTCCCCAGGCACACACCTTTTTAATCACAGCACTCAGGAGGCAGAGGCAGGCAGATCTCTGAGTTTAAAGCCAGCTTGGTCTACAGAGTGAGTTCTAGGACACATAGAGAAACCCTGTCTCCAAAAACCAAAAGAAACAAAACACAAACAACAAACAAAAATGTGAAGTAGGGTTGGACAAGACAGAAACAGGAGTTGTGAATGACAGCAGGGCTGGTGACGGAGACACAACTTCAAGCTGCTGGTGGTAGCAGCCTGCAGAGTTCTTTTCAGAGACTTCCACTAAAGGAAGCCAGATTCTCTTCGGAAAAGAATTTTAGGACAGGTCAGTAGGAAGAAGGGTGCTTAGAAAAGCTCTGCACACCCAGCATGGGTGTGTGCTTCTCCAGAGAGAGAGAGAGAGAGAGAGAGAGAGAGAGAGAGACAGAGAGACAGAGACAGAGACAGAGACAGAGACAGAGAGAGAGACAGAGAGACAGAGAGAGAAAGAGACAGAGAGACAGAGAGAGATGCTCACATGACTTCCAACAGTCACACATAAGGCTGTCTCTGAATTCGCAACCTGAAGGGTTACTAAGGGACACACATAAGATCATGGAAAGTTCCTGAGGTGTCTTGGATATGATTACAACTGACAAGGTAAAACCATAGGCCATAAGGACTTTACCAGAGATTCAAAATATGTTTTTTCATAAACAAAAGTTTTAGCCTCACTGTAAAGTTCCCAGAAAATTGCAGGTTTATGTTAGGGAAAAAGAGCAAAATCACACTCAAAGATCATGTACAGTTAGGCCTTAAATGTGGTCCGTTGCTACGTTAACCTTCTCATTTGAAATATCTCTAAAAATAAGTGTTGTCTCCATGTAGGCTAGCTTCACAGCAAGTTTGGTTAATTGTACTGGAATTCTTGACTCTCAGCTGGAGAGATTCTTCAAAGAGACTCTGCAGTAAAGGGCTCCTTTCTCTCCACCCCCCCTTAATTTTCTGTCCACCTATCGGCTGTCAGTCATGAGAGGGAGAATGAGGGATGATGATCTCAGTCTGGAGTCTGAAAGCCTGAGAAACAATGTGCTGATGACGTCCAGGATGGGAGAAAAGATGCTGTCAGGTAGAGAGAGCACATTCATCTTGTCTGTACCTTTTTGTTCTCTTTAGGCACCTCAGAAGTAGGATATTGGGATAATTCCTCTCACTCGAGAGAAGAGAACACAGCCTGCTTTTCTGTTTGTCAATCCAAATACTAACAACAAAAACCACCTCACAGAGACATCCAGAAAGATCCTTTGACTAGTCAAGCTTTTGCATGATGTAATGATTCTCTGCAATGATCACCACCATCTCTAGGATACCTTTCATCTTCCAGGATGAAGCTCCAGTCTGCTAAACAACAACTCTCCGCTTCCCCCAGCCTCTGCCCACACGAGTCTGCCTTCCTGCAAGGACAGAGTTTGGCTATTCTACATACTCCAGAGGAGTAGGTACATACATCCATCCTTTGTGTCTGGGCCCTTTCAGCCAGGGTCCTTCCTAAAATAATAGAACTCTATCATTGGTTTCTTCAAATTCTAGCCCAGAGCCAGGTCCAATGGCACAGACTGATACTCTTAGTCAACAGGAAGGCTGGGGCTAGAGGATCACACATTCAAAGCCACACGTGATGTTGCCAGGGAAACTGGCATTCCCTCTTTGGGTTCTTAGTCTGCTAATAAAGAATTTAGAAGCAGACTTGGACTGAGGACAATTTTGTTGGTTTGAAAGAAAAACAAGGCAGGCAATCTGTAAACCTCAGCAGTTCCCCAGAGGAGAGAGACAGAGAAGAGGAAGGGAGAAAGACATGCCTTTAAGAAAGCAAACAGGTTCGGTATGGAGGCCAGCAAGCAGCCACTTGGCAGACAAGCAGCTGCATGCAGGAGAGGGGCGTTTCGGGGGTGGAGGGAGAAATGAGTGGCAAAGCACGGAATGTCCAGCAAAACACTTCCAGGTTTTGCTTAGTATCTAGAGGGAGAAAAAGGAAAGAAAAAAAGGACAAGTTATACTTTTCTGAGCAACTCAGAAGGGTGGGCAGGCTGAAAAAGCTGCATGATAGAACTCTACAAGCAATTGCAGGGAAGAGAGGTTTCTGGGAAGGCTGTTTATTATCTCATTAGAGGGATAGTTATTCTCTCTCCTTACCGTGGCTTTAGGTCAACCAGCTTCTTTGTTGTTGTTGTTTTTCGAGACAGGGTTTCTCTGTATTGTTTTGGAAGCTGTCCTGGAACTCACTCTGTAGACCAAACTGGCCTCGAACTCACAGAGATCTGCCTGCCTCTGCCTCCCGAGTGCTGGGACTAATAGTGTACACCACCAACGCCCAGCTTCAACCATCTTTCTTAAAGAGTGGATGACTGACAGGCCCAGCTGGGTTATCTCTTAGGGGAGGAGACAACAGAATGCAGTGTCCTAATCTTTGCAGCAGATCAGAATATCATTTCTCCACATGACATCAGAGGTAGATTCCTCTCTGTGTGTCTCTGTCTGTCTCTGGCAAATGGATGTTTTGCCTACCTGCATCTTTGTACACCATGTAGAAGAGGGCACTGGGCCTACCCCAACCCCCAGGAACTGGAGTTATTACAGGTGGTTGAGAGCTGCCATGTGAGTGCTGTGCTGAGAACTGAACCTACAGGAACAGAAGATGCTCCTAACCACTGAGTCATCTCTCTAGGCCCCAGATTCCATTCTCTTGACCTCTATTGGGCCTCAACAGAGTCCTGATAGCTGGTCTTCATTGTTTCCAGGGCTGCTATCAGCAGTGAGATCTGTGGTGACATTTTGTTTGTGCTCTAACAAATAAAGCTTTCCTGAAGGTCAGAGGATGGAGCTAGCCACTAGTTAACCTTAGAGGCCGGGCAGTGGTGACACACGCTGTTGATCTGAGCACTTGGGATCTCATGCCTTTGATCCCTGCACTAGGGAGGTGAAGACAGGAAGTGGTATGGCTGGGCAGAGAGAGAAATATAAGGCAGGAAGAAAGAGGAGCTCACCCCTTCAGTTTGAGGATTTGGTAGAGGTAAGAACTCTAGTGGCTGACTGCTCTGCTTCTTCATACCCTAATATCTGCCTCTGGATTTTTGTTATTTAAGACCATTTAGAATTTGCACTACAGAGATCATCAAAATAAAACTTTTTGTTTTAATTTTTTAAGCGGTTAAAAATAAACAGTTTTGATACTTGGAGGAGCATGTTCTTAACATCTAAAAATATCAGCTATGTCCAATCCTCATTCCCCCACAATATTGGGTGAAGTGTTGAAATAATTATTATAATTATTAAAATAATTATATAAAAATAAATTCCTGTAGAACCAGACTCATAAATGAAGAGCAAGGAATAGTGTATTCCTCAGTTTTCTTTTTCAAAAACACCTGAAGTGAGCAATGCAGAAAGGCGGGTTTATTTAATTCACAGTCCAGAGGCTGACCAACAAACAGCATGGCGGTGGCTACATAGGAGCCATCGGGTTGAGCATCATGGTGGATGGCATCATGATGAAATAAGGAGAGCCAGGGAGGTAGGAGCAGGTCCAGGCTTGCTCTTTTTTTAACAGTTTTTTTAAATACAATTTTTGAAAGACTAACTCTACCTTTTTTATTGTTTTTGCTGCAGGTTCACCCTTCTTTTTTTAATATTTTATTTATTTAATATGTATACAGTCTTCTGCCCATCCATATCACTTCCTACTGTGTTTTGACATTACTGCACTGGGACCGACCTTCATACACACAAACCTTGGGGGACACACTTAAACCCGTATCCAAACCAGAACAAAGGACTGTCATTTTCTGTAATTGCACAGAAACCTGGTTGTCTAATTTCACTACATTAGTGCTCTTTGGGTTAAAGTCACAGGCTACAAGCTCTACACACAGACTGCCTTTTGACATTTCAGCTTCCTCAAACTTTAAGTTCAGCTTGGAGGTAAAAATCAAGGAGGTTCAAATTTTAGCCAGTGTGGTAAAAATCAAGAATGTTTTTCAAAGCGACAGTAATAAAGGAATAGTCTTGAGCTTCCAGCCCTCACGGTTTAGTCTCTCTTCCTCATTCAGGGTGTCTCCATGGCAACTCACTTGTGCCTCTGAACAGCCATCCTGAAGCAGATTGGATTACTGCTCTGCTTTTCTTACTCCCTCTCTGCAATTGAATTAAGTATCATGGCCTTGGCCATGTGACTTTTCGGATCTCTCTCTAGGGTAGGCAGAGACATTTCCATGATCCATTGGCATTGGGCTTGATTATGTAATGTGTTTGTCAGTGGAATGCTAATAAATGCAGAGGCTTTTTGTTCCTTTTTTTAAAATGTGTTTGCATGGTTTGGCTGACAGCCTTGGCATGGAATATTTGTGTGGCAGCCTTGAACTGGACCCACAGCCTGAAACAGAACCACTACAACTGCTCTGAACACTTTCAAGTAGGATGCATATATGTGATGATGTTAATACTGTAAGCCTCTGAGTTTTGGTGTGTTTTTGTACATGGATTCATTATGGTGAAACATGACAGTTCCAGCCCCCTCCCTGGACTCATCTCAGTGTTTATCATGATGCTCCCATGTCATTCCAACAGTTACTCCTCAACAGGCAAGCACTGTGGTTCCTGTTGCACAGGTATACACCTGCCTGTTGTAACTACCTCTGTCCTCTCTGCAATATCTCCCTTATCTCTGCAGTCACAGGCCAAGTGCTCTTACTTGTTACTCACTATGAGACCATAAAACAGAGTTCCTCTGCTGTTACCTAGAGCTCTTCCGTTTGGCTGATTTATAGTACTAATTAATAGCAGTGATAAATTATTAATACTAAAATATAATAATAATAATTGTCATTGTTATTATTATTTCAGTACAGGACTATTCTTCCAGGGGACCAATACCAGACAGCTAGGTCTAAAGATCATTTGAGTCTCTCCATGGGGCTACATTTAAACCTTTCTCTTCACTCACCTAGAACAGTACTTCCATGCTTTCTGGGATGAGTTGCTTGCCTTCTAGAACATAGCTGGAAAGATAAAAGCAAAGTCAGTGTTCTTCAGCTGAATGTGACTTATATCCTTGGGGGACAGCTGACAATTTTGTGCACTAAGCAAGAGGCTCTCTTGATAGAAGAACCTCTGAAGTTGAAGTTTACACTCATGGGCTCTACCCAGGTCAAGAGGCCATTAAACAGCACTCCCATTACAATCTTCCAAACTCTAGAGGAGTTGTTCTCAGCCTGTGGCTCATGGCTGATATTTACAGTATGATTCATAACAGTAGAAAAAATTACAGTTATTAAATGGCAATGAAAATAATTTTGTGCTTGGGGTCACCACAACATGAGGAATTATATTAAAGGGTCTCAGCATTAGGAAGGTGGAGAACCACTGCTCTAGAGAATACCAGCCTGACAGTCTACACTTAGAACACTCACCAATGCATCTAACAAGCACTTATTCAACTAGTGCACACTAGAGACACAAATGGAAAGAGACCAAGCCTGAACCATAATGCAGCTTATGCAAGGAAGAGAGGGGAAGGAAACATAAAATAAAGACAAATACATCATTTAAGTGCAAGTTTTAAAACAAGCTAAATGACCAGAAGACACAGGGTTCTTCTATACAGAGCAGATAGAAGATACCTTTGAGAATCCGAGCATATTCCCCAAGACCTACACAGCAAAGGGCCTCACTGTGTGAAAGGAGTCTTCTGATCGGTTTAATAGAAAGCTGAATGGCCAATAGCTAGACAGGAGGAAATAGGAGGGACTTTCAGGGAGAGAGAGGAACTGGAGAAGTATCTGAGGCACAGGAGAGATGCTAGTGAGACTCTGAGGAAGTCAGACATACATTATAGAGGAAGGTAGAGAGCCATGGGGCAAAAATAGATTAGTCAAGTTAATTTGAGTTTAGTTATAAGAACCAGTTGGAAACAAGCCTAAGCTAAAGGCCAAGCTATCGTAATTAATAATAAGTTTCCGTGTCATTATTGGGTTGCTGGTGGTCCAAGAAAGTCCAATGAGAAAGACCTGCTACAGAAGGGAGAAAACCAATTCCTTCAGGTTGTCCTCTGACCTCCACATATCCACTGTGGCATTTACACACGCATGTGCATGCGCACGCGCGCGCGCGCACAGCACACACACACACACACACACACACACACACACACATTATAATTTAGGAAAAAGAATTTGTATGTGTATAGTTTCAATTCCCATCTAGCCTGGGGTTTAATAGAGCACTGACAGAGAATTTTATCTTTGAGAAAGGTACCAATGTTAGTATTCAGGCATCTGTCCTGGCCTGTAGCCACTAAGAGTACCACCTGTGCACATTCACTATTGTCCCTTTTTTTTTTTTTTTTTTTTTTTGGTTTTACGAGACAGGGTTTCTCTGTATTGTTTTGGAGGCTGTCAGTCCAGCCTGGCCTCGAACTCACAGAGATCCACCTGCCTCTGCCTCCCGAGTGCTGGGATTAAAGGCCTGCGCCACACCGCCCGGCCACTATGGTCCCTTTTAAAAGGACTCTGACCACTTCCCATGTCTCTCTCTCTCTCTCTCTCTCTCTCTGCTTCTCTGCCTCTCTTCCTCTCCTTTTCTCTCTCCCCCTTTCTCTCTTTGCCTCGGTCTTCTCTTTCGCTGTTCCTGTCCCCAGAGGCCAGTCACCCCTTCTCCCATTCACTTTCCCCCAATAAAAACACCCTCCACCCAAGCTCTGTCACATGGCATCTTTCTCTCGAGCACCACTTTTTAAGATTACAACAACCAACAGTGGTATATTACTTTGTACCTTATTCATTTTTTAACTTATAGTTGACACATATATGTAAGTATTATACATATGAGGGGCATAATATGAAATCACACAGTTCTCAAATCAAAGTGGAAAGTATTTCCTTTTCCTTGAATTTTTATCATTGCTTTGGGCTAGGACACAGTGAACTCCTTTCATCTGGGCTGTTGCTGTTGTTGTTGAATTTCTCGAGACAGGGCCTCTAACTAGCCTCCAACTCACTACAATCTCCACGGCTCAGCCTCCCAAGTACATGAAACACCAGACCCAGATTCCAGATTCTCTTCCAGTGCTTTATAAAGAATGTAACTAATTCCTCAGAACTATGAGGAGGTGGAGGCCTCAAGGGTCTTGGTGCACTGATTTGTGCACAGTCCTGGCTATGGCTTGTGTCTGAAGCAAGAGGAGTCTTAGCTTAGGCTGTAGCTCTGAATCTGAAAGAACCAGCCAAACCATGGCTGGGCAGCAGCCAGCAATCCAGAGGGAGCTGACAATTTACTTCATGTTGTGCATGATTTCACACACATTCTGTGGCCAAGGATGCTAATGATGCTGAGTGGGAGGAGGAAAACGTGGACGAATACTTCATAGCATATGAAATTTTCAACTGTCTTTTTAGCTAGGACTTAAGCATTAAAATAAGACTTTCACTGTTGCTAGGGTAGGAATGATCACCAGGAATCTAATTGTATTAGGTGTGTTAGACTTTTTGTTGTTTGTTTTTCAAGACAGGGTGTATCGGGACTTGCTCTGTAGATCAGGCTGGTGGTCTTGAACTCAGAGACCCCCCCCCCCCCCCCCGTCTCTGCCTCCTGAGTGCTGGGATTAAAGGTGTGCACCATTGCCCGGCTAGACATTTTTTATAGATAGGTCTCTCCCTACAAGCCCAGGCTGACCTGCATGTGATCCTGCTATCTCAGCTTCCAGCCTCCTGAGCGATAAGGTACAGGAACAAGCAAGCCACTATGCTTAGCAAAATCTCTTTCTCCTTCCACTTCTTCCTTTTCTCTCTCCTCCCCCCCCCCCAGAGAATCTAATGTGTCCCAGGTTGGCCTCTAACTCACTATGCAGCTTCTGACCAAGGTAACATACAAACAAAAGCATTTCATTGTGGATTGCTTACAATTTCAGAGAGTCGGTCCATGATCATCCTGGTGGGAAGCTTGGTGGCAGGCAGGCAGCAGGCAAGCATGGTGCTGGCACAGGAGCTAGACCTTACATCCTAACTGAAAGAAGGATGCAAAGAGAGAGAAAGACTCAGCCTGACATGGGCTTTAGAAACTTCAAAGCCCACCCACAGCGACATAACTCCTCCAGCAAGGCCACAACTCCTAATCCTTCCCAAACAGTTCCATTAACTGGGGACCAAACATTCAAACATATGAGTCTATGGGGGCCATTCACATTCAAACCAACACACATACTCACAAACAAATACATGAAAATGTAATTTTTAAAGATTAAGCGATGTGGGGTAAGAGGCGGAGCTTCTACACCCTTGCTGACACAGGTAGCCACCAGACCTGCCCCAAGGACTCTGGATGCCAAAAGGAACTTAAAGGAGGACTACGATTCTCAAGAATATTCTCTTGTGTGGGAGGCAGAATGCCATAAGGGACAAAAACTTCATCTTTGGGACCAGGATTCTGTGTCCAGCTCTTTAGCCTATTAAGGATGTGACCTGGGAATGTTATTTGACTTCTCTGCGGAGTTTCCTCAACATGCAAGGACAGCAGCAGCACCTTGCATGAAGCTACAGAGTCAGTTTTTAGCACCGAAATACTGACAGCAGTCCCTACCTTGCGGGGTTGTGAGAACTGAGCATGTCTAGAATCCCAGCAGGCGTTAACATATAAACACTGAGTACTTTTGATGCTTTTAACATGACCCCCTAGAGAACACTGATGGGTAGAGCAAGAGATGGCTGCCCTTAGTTCTATCTGGTGCTTTAACAGACCATCTCACCATTTCAGAAAATTGCATCACTCCTGGCCTAATTAGCCAGCACAGGGCCGGTTCAGTGAGCATTTGCAACTATTGTATCCCTGGAGATGTTTACAAAAGGCACAAGCTCTGGTGTGGACAGTGTCTTCCAGAGAATGCACCACCAAACGCTAATATACAGGAATGTGCGTGACTTTATTAGAAAGTTCTTCCCACTCATCTTTCTTTTTAATTGTTCAACTAAGGCAGCATATGGATTTTTAATTATAAAACTACATTTTTATTTATTTAGCCTTTTTGTGAAAGCAGGTGCACTCATTGCTTGTCTTGTGACTATGGCTAATGTCTAACAAGATGCATCTTAAGAGTTAAGGGTTGATTTGGTCTCATGGTGTCAGGGGATCGAGTCCATCGTAGCAGGGAAGACACAGCAGCAGGTGGCTCCATGGTGGTGGCCCCATGGCTGCAGGAGCAGGGAGCTGGGACTCCTCATATCTCAGCGGAACAGAGAGCAGGGAGATCTGATTGGAAGCTGGGCTGCACTTATAAACTTCAAACTCAAACCTTTCCCTCCCTCCATTTCTTTTAGCTAGGCCCCACTTCCCCCAAACAAGCACAACCTCCCAAACAACACACCAAGGGAGACCAAGTGTTCAAACACTGAGCCTGTGCAGGACGTTTGACAATCAAATCATAACATGGTCTAGCTGTGGAGCCCAGAATGGCTTCCAACTTCTAACACTCATGCCCTCTAAGTATTGGCTAAATCTTTATTTCAAAAAAGGCTCAGTGAGTAAAAGTGCTTGTCCAGCAAGCCTGATGACCTGAGGTCAATTCCCAGAACCTAGAGTGGAAGGAGAAACCAACTCCAGAGAGTTGTCCTGACCCCTACATACACATCATGGCGCGCGCGCACACGTACACACAGCTGGCCATAGTTCTGGGTGGTGGGAGCAGGAAGATTAGGATGACTCAGATTCAGATCAGCTGGGCCTATCTATATATTGAGACTTGAAGGAAAGAGGGAAGGGAGGGAAAGGGAAAAGGAGGGAGGAAGAGAAGATAAAAGGGAAACTTTAAAATTATACATGTGAGAAAGGGGATCAGGCAGAATGTAAGGGGGACCAAAGAGGGTAATGGAAGAGAGCATAATCAAAATACATTATACACATGTATGATAATTTCATAATGAAACCCATTATTATGTATAATTAGTATATCCTAATAGCAGTTACACATGCACTGTGTAAAATCATCTGTAACTTTAATTCAGATGAGAATAGGCTATTTTAATGTATCTGTTATAAAAGAAGATGTAGAACAGGATATGGAGGGTCCACATCTGCAATCCCAGGACTTGGAAATCAGAAGTAGGAGGGTCAGGAATTCAAAGCCAATCTAGGCTATAGAGAAAGGTCAAGGACAGCCTAAACTACCAGACCCGATCTCAAAAACACAAAAAAATAGGGCTGGGGATGTGGCTCAGTTGGTAAAATGCTTGCCCAGCATGCATGAGTCACTGGGCTTGGTCTCCAGGGTTATATAAAACTGGGCATGCCTATAGTGGCACATGCCTATAACCCCAGCACATGGGAGATACTCAAAAAAAAAAAAAAAGAGCAAAACAAAACACATTTGAGTTTGGTAAAGAACCACTTTCTAGGGAGCAGTTAATATTTTGTTTTTACAAAGTAAGCTTTATTTAAAGTAAAAATGCATTCAGGAATATACAAGTTATGAACTAATTAATGACTTCTCATAGCATACATATTTTACACAATGTATATATTTATAAATTAAAATTTGATAAGTTATCCATCCCTTTCCTGAACTCTTATCAGTCTTTTCCCAATCACTTTCCACCAACTAGACAGACTTACAACAGCGACTGATGCTATTTATCTCTCAAACTCAAAGCAAACAACAATACAGAATCTGTAGGTGTGTGTGTGTGTGTGTTCAGAGGCTCACAGTTACATCGACAAGCGTCACCATGTGGCAGTAGACCTTTCACTCTTATTGCCAATAGTCAGTTGTATGAATAGAATTTACTTGGCCATTTGACTATTAGTGAACACTTGAGTAGTGTCCAACAGGGGACTAATTTGAATGACTGTTTCTATGAACATTCTTGCATGTATCCATCAGCAGATACATAAACATATTTCTCTAACATGTGGGAGCAGAAATGCTGGGCCATGTGTATGCATCATTGAACTTTAGTAAATTATGAAATAGTTTTCCAAAACGAGTGGAACAATTGACATCTCCAGAAGATTCCTGACAGCTCTACTTGGCCACACTCTCTTAGTTCTACATTTCAATCATTTCTTCTGACTCCTTATCACCGAGAATGTCATCTATAGGACTGTGAGATTTTGCTGCACAAAACTAGCAAAATGATAGTGCAGTCATGCTAGCATTCATGTCCCTTCTGAATGCATTTGGAATCCAGCACTGCTGAGGAAGTGGTTGGATACACACTACTTAGGAGCTAATGGATTAGCAAATCCTGCAAGGCCGATGGCAGAGGCTTTCATACTCCGTCTCCCCACTCAATCTTGTGAAACGGATGACTTTGCCCCAGACTCCTCAAGGCAGAGGAAGGGATTCAGGGCCTCCTGGCCTCCAACCCAGCTATGGCTCCTGGAGTAGGATGAGGGGGGAAGGCAGAGGAAAGAGAAATGAGGGGGCTGCTTGACAGCTAGAAAACAGATCTAAGGTAGGAGGGAGTGAGGAAAGCCAGGGTACAAATGACTGTATTCCCAAGATGTATGCAAATCCTTGTAGCAAAGCTAAGCTTGAAATTGAAAGACTAATTCGTTATGTAATGGAAACTTCTTGTGGCCATCACAACAAGGGCAAGTAATGGAAAAAGGACAGTCGCAGATTCACTGTATCTGGTTTCTTCTGGAAGCAGCCTTGCCTGGGGAAGCATACCCAGGGATCTTCAGGCAGTTATTTGGTTTCTCAGTGCGTCCTGGTCTGTTTTGTAGTCAGCAATTCACAGTGAGTAGAAACGTGACTGCCACAAGCAGTACATTTTGCCAGGAGAAGGCAGCAGGGAAAGCTGCACACTTCATGGAAGCCAGGAAGCAAAAGAAGCAAAGGCAGCAATGACCCCAGTCCCCTTTAGGACAAATGCCCAGTGACCCCCTAAGATGTCCCACTAAGCACATCTTCTTGGGCTTCCAACATGTCCAGCCAGTACCAAGCTGAGTATCCATGCCTTTAACTAGTGGGCCCTTGGGACACATTTTAAATCTGAATTCTATCAGTGGCTTCAATTCATTAGCTCTGAGGAACTATCATTAGGTGGTGCTGGGGATTAAGTTCCCAACATGTGAGTTTTGGAAAGAACAAAAAAAAAACCACACTAAGTAAAGCACTGAGGTTAGATGGAACAATGTAGCTTGAGCACAATGCCTCCCAGCTTCTTTGTCAGTAAGACTTCCAGGGTTGGGGGAAGACACAACTTTTGCAATCTATTGTTTTCTTAAAATCTTAACTAGTGCTGTATAATGTACCATGCGATCAAGGCAGTAGAAGTAGAAGAATGGAATCAGATTGCTAACGTGTGTTGGAAGCACATACAGCTTCCTTCTGCTCTGGCATGAAAAGAACTTGGCATGGGTTGGCATCACAGGTTCTCATCCTATGACTCCTGAGAGCGCAAGATGAAGTGAATGGGCAGGATAAGGCATCAGGAAACCAAGTGACTACCCAAGTAAGAAAAGAAGTAGCCATTCGGAAATCTTCAGCGGCCATGTTAACTAAGCCCTTCACCTATGGCAGTGGGGGCATAACAGTAAGGGCTGCAATGTTTCGGTACCAATTAAAGGCCAAATTCAGTAAGTTTTGCAACTAGGACAGAGATGTAAAAGGACCCACAGTAGAATAGGGCCATGTGGGCAGGCCAGGCAGAGCTGTAACATACGACACCTTCCACTCCTTGGGCTGCCGTGAAGGAGCCAGCTTCCCCTGAACAAAGCTTTTCAATGCTGAGGCTGCTCACAAGCTAACGTCTCTTCTGGAGACCCACGTGCACCTGCATCCAGAAGCCACATTGCCTCAGAGCACAGTCCAATGGACATGTTAGGATTTTTAAGCCAACACAGGCTACATTTGACTATACTGTTCCACATTTACAAAGGCTGAGTTTTAGTATGAATCAGATTGTGAGAAGGCAACGCAGTGGACCCAGATTCTGGTCCCAGATGCTGTGCCACTGGGTATTATGAGCTGAGGATACAGCAGTACTGGAAATTTCTATGGTAGACAA